TATATATATATTCATATATACTAAAATTATCAAATTTAATTCTAAACTTTAGACGCGAATATTATTATAGATCGATGAATCACTAAGTCTTATTACAAGAGTTAAATTAATTCACTTTCGAAAATGAACTGTAGTAAAACACACATATATGTATATATATCTATAATTAATAATGGAAAACGTGGAAATGATTAAAAAAGAAAGCTCGCCTGCTGTTAAAGCGAAGGAAGTCAACGAGCACGTGAATGCAACTTAGAGCATAATACGTTACACTGAATGTAATAGTAACAATAGTAGCAAAATCATTCTACGTTCTACACATTTGCGTGACAAACGTACACGACAATGTTGTGTGCTCAAGTCGACAATACTGATCGCCACAATGAATCAACTCGCCTCCAGCGGGTGTTAGGCAAAATGTATTCGTGAATAACAAATAACGATTTTTCGCATACGTATTGTTTGAGAATATTTCGCGTACGCTAATACACCCGGTGTGTACACAAAAATACATATTCAAAATCATCGTTCGTTATTTGTTTTACACACGAATATATTTCGTCTAAATTCCAGATAGGCAAAAGTAGTCATTTTGATATCAAATTATATCAAAATGGCTATTATAATTACCTGGAATCTTGCTTGAAAATGGCGCACTCGATTAATCGAGTTACACAGGCGAATTCGTAAAGTATATTTCAATTTATCAAAAGATTCTTACTTTTTCTCTTTCTCTCGATACAGCTTTATCTCTTTTTTTTATCAGAAATTTTTTGAATTTTTATTTTCAATTTTGGCGTGAAAAAGCGCGCTTTTTATGGGAATAAATTAAACGCTGATAAAGAGAGTCAGAGCTCACCTTTCTCGAGAACGCCTTCAGCGACGAATCGTCCTTCCGAGGCGCGTCCACTCGCACTTCCTTCGGCGTAGCAACGCAGCGCAGTGTCCAGTGCGTAGTTACCGATGCAAGAGTCCGTTCCGCATAAACAAAAACACAAACTCGCGACTAGTTCGAGCTCTTTCACAGGCGACGTGCGTCTTTCTCTAGCGCGGCGGTATCACTTGCGCGTCGATTCTGCTTTTTTTCTCGTATTCTCGTTCGCGAGAAAACACGCAGCGCGAGCGAGCGAGCGAGACGGCCAGCTACGATCGCGATGAAGCCAAGTGCGAGAGGGACAGAAATAGAGACAGTGAGAGAGAGGAAGAGAGCGCGCGCGCACTACAAGTGCACGCGTACGAATATACGAGAGAGAGAGAGAGAGAGAGAGGAACGGAAACGGAGAATGACGCGACGAGGAGGAAGGATTGGACGAGACGGGCAAAAAAAAAGCGAGCAATACTAGGAACGGCACGATAAGGAACGCGCGAGTTTCCCGCAAACGAAGACACGAATCAGATCGCGCGTCCGAGACACGCGCGATAATCAGTAACCCGTCGATATCGATCCCCGTATTTTGTCGTCGCCGTTACATCGTTACTACCGCGTGGCGCGAAAAACGAACAGCTTCAAAAACGATCTTTGGAGGACATGGCGTGAGTGCGCGCGCGCGATCGTTGCAACTCCGAGGGAAA